TCAATGGGAAAAATAACCACAAGTGAGGATTAAGGAAAGGAAAGGAAAGGAAAGGAAAGGAAAGGAAAGGAAAGGAAAGGAAAGGAAAGGAAAGGAAGGAGAAAGAAAGAAAGAAGTTACACTGATAGAAATACAAAAAATTATAAGAAATTACTACAATCCCATTTACAAATTAATCAGAAAGAATAATATACCTTAGAATAAATTTAACTAAGGAGGTGAAAACCCTATATACTGAAAACTCTAAGACACTGATTAAAGAAATGGAATGAGACATAAATAAATGAAAAGATATCTCTTGCTCATGGATTAGAAGAATTAATATTGTTAAACTATCCATACTACCCAAACCAATCTACATATTCAACACAGCCCCTACCAAAACTCCAATTGCATTTTCCACAGAACTAGAATAATTCTAAAATTTGTTAGAACCACAAAAGACAAAGAATAGCCAAAGCAATCTTGAGAAAGAACAAAGCTGGAGTCACACTATCTGATTTCAAACTATACTACAAGGCCTTAGTAATCAAAACACAATGGTACTGTCATAAAAGTAGACACATAGATTAATGGAACAGAACTAAATCCACACCCAAATGGTCAATTAATTTATGACAAAGGAGGCAAGAAAATACAATGGAGTAAAGACAGTCTCTTCAATAAATGGTGTTGAGAAAACTGGACAGATATATGCAAAAGAATGAAATTTGATCACTTTCTTACATCATATACAAGGATAAACTCAAAATGGATTAAAGACTTAAATTTAAGACCTAAAACCATAAAACTCCTAGAAGAAAATATAAACAGCAAACTCTTTAACATAAGTCTTAGCAATATTTTTTTGGATATGTCTCTTCAGAGAAGCAAAAGAAAAAATAAACAAATATGACAACACCAAAATAAAAAGTTTTTTCACAGCGAAGGAAACCATCATCAAAACAATATTACAACCTACTGAAGGAAGAAGATATTGGCTAATAATATATTAGATAAGGGATTACCAATCTGATTAAAAACTGGGCAGAGGACCTGAATAGACATTCTCCAAAGAGGACACAGAGATGGCTCATAGACACATGAAAGGAAGCTCAACATCACTAATCATCAGGGAAATGCAAATTAAAACCACAATGAAATATCACCTGCCACCTGTCAGATGGCTATCATCAATAAATCAACAACAAGTGTTGGCAAGCCTGTGGAGAAAAGGGAACCCTCCTGCACTGTTGGTGGGATTGTAAAATGTTGCAACCACAATGGAAACCAGTATGGCAGTGCCTCAAAAAATTAAAAATAAAACCACCATAGAACCCAGTAATTTCACTTGTGGGTATTTATATAAAGAAATCCAAAACACTACTTCAAAAAGATATATGCACTCCTATGTTCACTGCGGCATTATTTACAATAGCCAAGATATGAAAGCAACCTAAGTGTCCATCAAAAGATGAAAGGATAGCCTGGCCAGTGTGGCTTGGTGGTTGAGCATCAACTTATGAACCAGGAGCTCACAGTTCGATTTCTGGTCAGGGCACATGCCCGGATTGCAACTCAATCCCCAGTAGAGGTTGTGTAGGAGGCAGTCAATCTATGATACTCTCTCATCATTGATGTTTCTCTCTCTCTCCCTCTCCCTTCCTCTCTGAAATCAATAACACTATATCTTTTTAAATATATGAATGGATAAAGAAGATAAAGAGAACCAGTGGTTGCCGCATGGGAGGGGTATTCAGAGAGTTGAGTGAAAAAGAAGGGATTAAGAAATACAAATTACTAGTTATAAAATAGTCACAGGGATATAAAGCACAGCATAAGGAATATAGTCAATATTTAAGAACCATGTAATGGTGTCAGATAGATGGGTACTACACTTATCAGGGGGATCACTTCATTAGCTAAATGTCTAATCACCATGTTGTACATCCAAAACTAATATAATATTGTATGTTGACTGTAATTGAAAATTTTAAATTTTTTAAAAATAAGTGTGTCCTAAAAGGCTAAAACATCTGAAATAAAATTAACACTAAGAAATGTACTTCTGCTTTGCTATATTTATGCTGGTGTTTATAGATTTACTTTCTGAATGAACATGTCATTATTGATCCAAAACGAAAGTAAATGTGGAAGAACATTAATCATTAAAATCTATTCACCGTCAGTCATTAAAGTAATTTGATATAATCTAATCTGTTCACCGTCAGTCATTAAAGTAATTTGATATATGCCAGATTGAAGTTTCCTTTAGTGGTCAATAAACCAAGAACGATTGATTAATTAGTATAGGAATGCTTTGTCTTTGCATATAGTTCAAGGCATTTTCTTTTCGTGTGTTTAATTAGCAGATAACTGAGGAAAAATTAGGGTTTGTACAGCCATGGCATAACATTTTAGGGCTAGTACCTTGAAGTATAATTATGTTCTTTCTGCCGAAACCGGTTTGGCTCAGTGGATAGAGCGTCGGCCTGCGGACTGAAAGGTCCCAGGTTCGATTCCGGTCAAGGGCATGTACCTGGGTTGCGGGCACATCCCCGGTGGGGGATGTGCAGGAGGCGGCTGATCGATATTTCTCTCTCATCGATGTTTCTGACTCTCTATCTCTCTCCCTTCCTCTCTGTAAAAAATCAATAAAATATATTAAAAAAAAAAATTATGTTCTTTCACAAAATGTTCTGTGGAACTGCTATCAGATGGAATTTTTTTAAAAATATATTTTTGTTGATTTCAGAGAGAAAGGGAGAGGGAGAGAGATAGATAGAAACATCAATGATGAGAGAATCACTGATCGGCTGCCTCCTGCATGCCCCCTACTGGGGATCGAGCCCACAACTCGGCATGTGCCCTTGACCGGAATTGAACAGGGGACACTTCAGTCTGACCCGACACTCTATCCACTGAGCCAAACCAGGTAGGGCTGGAATTTTTTGTTGAACGAATCCTCCAACAAAAGAAAGTATATATATATGTATTCATGAGCTCATATAATGGGCAAAGAGACCTGGAGCAAAGCCATGCAGGACTAGCCATGAAGAGTAACATGAATGATGTGTACTTGAGCTAAAGATGTACACTTCCTCTAGAGTTACTTAGAACCTCACTCCTCTGCTTAATTTACATGTTTATAATTAGAAAATCTGTGAGTGGATAAAAACACTGTGATGCACATCTAGACAATGGAATATTATTAGTGCTAAAGAGAAATTAGCTATGAAAAGGCATGGAAGAACCTATGAGGCATGTTACTAAATGAAAGAAGCAAATACAAAAAGGCTACATCCTCTTTAATTTCAACTATATCACATTCTGGAAAAGTCAAAACTATGGAGACAGTAAAAAGATCAGTGGTTAAGAGGGGTTAGGAGGAGAGAGGGATGAATAAACAGAGCACAGTGGATTTTTAGGGCAGTGAACCCACTCAGTATAATACCACAAGATGGCCATATGTCATAATACATTTGTCCAAACCCAGAGAATATACAACACCAAGAGTGAACCCTAAGGTAAAGTATGAACTTTGGTTGATAATGATATGTCAATGTAGGTTCACTGATTGTAACAAGTGTACCATTCTGGTGGGGGATATCCATAGTTGGAAAGGTTGTACATGTATGAACAGGGGATATACAGAAACTCTCTGTACTTTTCTCTCAATATTGCCATAAACCTAAAACTGCTTAAAAAAAAAAAAGTCCATTTAAAAGAATTTAAATTTAAAAAAAAAGAAGGCAAATGAAAGGTATTTTCAGATAAACCCAAACTAGGAGAATTCATCATCAGCAGACGTGCACTACAAGAATCCTAAGAGAAGTTCTCCAAGCTGAAGGGAAATGATACTATGGGAAACCCAGATACCCAGGAAGGAATAAACCAGAAATAGTAAGAACGGAGATAAATATAAAAGGCTATCTTTTTACCCTCTTTAATGTCTTTAAAATACACTTGGCTTTTTAAAGCAAAAATCCAATAGTGTGTTGTGGAATCCTTAGCATCTGTAAATGTAGCAATAGCTAATACAATTGCAGCATAAAGTTTGAGGAAGGTAAATGAAATTATAAGGTGTGAGGTTGTTACATTTTACCTGAAGTGGTACAATATTAACTAAGTAGACTGAAAAGTTCAGCATGTATATCCTGAGCCCTAAAGAAACCACCAAAACATAATGCAAGAAACTGTGGGGACAATGCAAGGGCTCCATGTCTTCACAGCAGGTGGGCTACATGAACATATGCATTTGTCTAAACTGCTGGAACTGTGCGCTTAAGATCTGTGCATGTCATCGTATGTAATTTTTACCTAAATTTTTTTAAAAAGTGCTTTCTTAAAAAAATAGCACCTGGCTCAGTGTAGTTATTCAATTAATGTTAGTTACTACTGTTAGTATTCTGTTAATAGGCTATCGGTTTAAGAAATACTGTTCTTTGAACATCTTTCCTTCTTACTGTAGGGCAGTGGTGTGACCCCCAACCGTAAAATTATTTTCATTGCTACTTCATAACTGTAATGTTGCTACTGTTATGAATCATAATGTAAATATCTGATATGCAGGATGGTCTTAGGCGACCCCTGTGAAAAGGTTGTTCAACCGCCAAAGGGGTCGCAACTCACAGGTTGAGAACCGCTGCTGTATGGCTTATTTATTTAGCACAAGCTTGTCCTTCTGCCTGAAACATTCCCATCTCCCACTCTTCCCCTGGAAGATGCCTATCCACCCCTCATTCTTCACCTCCATGGCACTTCCTCTGGAAAGCCTTGCCAGACATTATCTCACCGACGGCCAAATTAAGATATCCTGTCACTTGCCCCCATGGCACCCTGGACTTACTACTGGAATTAAGTTGTGCTTATCTGCCAATGAGACTGTAAGATCGTAAGGACGCTGGCTTGGTTTCACTCACTGCTGAACTCTCTATACTCAGCGCAGTGCCTGGGCCCCAGGTGCTGGTGGCAAAAAGCAGAGACAAAAGGCTCCAAGACCCGTTTTCTTCCTGACGTACCGTTTCGCTCTCTCCAGGTCATCATTTGCTTGCTCCAGCTCTCGGATATATTTCTGCAGCTGATCTTTAATTGCCTTTGTCTGGGCTAGGTCATCCTCTAAGGCGGAGATCTGCCGGTAGCCTTCAGAATGCTGCGTCTCAAACTTCTCCTGAATGACAAAATCAACACTGAATGAATGATTTCAGACTTCTGATAAGCTCTGTTTATCTCCCCCTTCCCTGTCACCTCCTTAAAATACTGAAGGCTAATCCTGGAATGCATGCACTCCTCTTGTACTGGTAGTACATACATGTGTGTTTTTTAAATGTTTTTATTGATTTCAGAGAGGGGAAGGGACAGGGATAGAAACATCAATGATGACAGAAAATCACTGACTAGTCAACTCCTGCATGTTCCACACCAGGGATCGAGCCCACAACCTGGGCAAGGCATATGCCCCAATCAAACAGTAACCTCCTGGTTCACAGGTTGACGCTCAACCACTGAGCCACACCAGCAGGGCAGACACATGTTGTTTTTAGCCACTGAGCATCCATTCCCCCACTCTCCACAACCTGCCAGGACCCTGATTTCTTTAGGGGGTTTATCTCTCCATTACTACAGGATCTTCATGGGACTATCCTCCCATCACAATTACTGAAGAAGCGTCAGCCTTCCTCTCCCACCCTCCCGCCACAGCCAGGGACAAGCCTCACTGCAGTCCAAAGGCCCTTTCCCCAGATGTGAACTGCTAAGCAAGTGACAGAAGAGAGCAGAAACAGGGGGCTGTCCTGCCCTGAGTGCTTCCTGCCTCCCAGGCCCTGAGCATCTGGTACCTTGCCCCCTCCCAAACCTGATCTTTGCAGCCTCTAGGTATCAAGAAGTAATCAGCTCTAACTGGCTTGGCTCAGTGGATAGAGCGTCAGCCTGTGAACTGGGTTCTATTGCGGTCAAGGACACATGCCCACGTTGTGGGCTCGATCCCCAGTAGGGGATGTGTCGGAGGCAGCCAATCAATGATTCTCTCTCATCACTGATGTTTCTCTCTCTCGCCCCCTCTTCCTTCCTCTCTGAAATCAATAAAAATATTTTGAAAAAAAGAAAGAAGCAATCATTTTGCTCAAGGTGTCCACAGACATAGAAAGCCACATAAACCCCCCACACCTATTCTGCAAGGACAATATGAATCCATGTCACGTGATTCCTGGATCACAAAGAGAACATCAGGGATCACAATGACTTTGGTAGCATGTACCACACAATAAGAGCAGGACATCATGTACTCAGTTTGACAAATGTTCTGACTTTGTGATACAGGACACTTCCCCTGCAGCATGGGGGAGTCAGAAGAAACTTCTGGACCTGTGGGAGAGGGAAGGAAGGAAGGAAGGAAGGAAGGAAGGAAGGAAGGAAGGAAGGAAGGAAGGAAGGAAGGAAGGAAGGAAGCAGGGAAGGAAGGAAGGAAGAAAGGGAGGGAGGGAGGAAAGGAACAAAGAGAGGGGAAAAAACCTGTTATGAAAGATGAGAGGAAGCTTAGTGCTTTCCAAGGCAAGGAATAGCCCGGATGACTTCTCAATGATCTATTGTTGCCCAACTGTAGAAGCTAACATTTATCATTTACTCTGTGGCAGCCTCTGGCTCAGGAGACCAATTACATTGCCTCATGTAATGCCATTTCCGAGATGTGGAGACTGAGGCTCAGTTACAGAATTAGCCCAAAGTCAACTGGTAACAAAAGATGGAGCCAAGATCCAACCTGGGCCACCTGGGCCCATGCTCATAAAACAACTATGTCAGTGGTTCTCAACCTTGGCTGCACATTAGAATCGCCTGGGAATCTTTTTAAAATTCTGATTTCTGGGCCCCACCCCATAACAAAGAAACAGAATTTCCAGAGGATGAGGCCCAGAAATCAGGATTTTAAAAAGATTCCCAGGTGATTCTAATGTGCAGCCAAGGTTGAGAACCACTGAACTATGCCAAACTGCCCTCACCATCTCAATCCAGGTGGTACAGGTATTAATCTCTCTCCCTCTTTCTTTCCTTCTTTTCTCTCCCACCCTCCCTTCCTCTTTACCAAATATCCTTACTACCTTTCCTTCATCCACACACGAAAGAAAACACTCACTTCCCACATGAAAGGCCCAAGGCTTAGAAAGTTAAAGAAAAAAAAAAAAAACCACTAAAAATAGGCAACTCCTTTCTTTTCTTTACACCCAGCCGAGTAAACAAAGCTGTTGCTAGAATGACGTAATGGTGCCTAGGCCGGGAGGCGTGGAGAGCCACTGTGAAGAGCAACGCCCACAGAACAAGCAGATTATTTACAGGGGGAGGACAGGGAGGGCCTTTCACATGCTCAGCCTGCTGGGTCCCCTCTGATACTCCGTTTCCTGGCCATGAGCAGAGAAAGTGTCTCCACTGAGGCAAGCAGAGGCAGACCAGACCCTGTGCACAGCAAGTTCTGAGGCGTGGCTCTGATGGCCTCACACCCTTTAGGTGGGTGCACCTCTAGATAAAATAAGAGGGTGCAGGATCCTAGGTTATTAACCTAAATTCAAATTCAGAGGATGCAGTTAATGAGCTTCTCCACCAGCACAGAGATTCAAAAGAAGTCCTTTGAACTCGGGGACATGAAAAACTATTGCTGAAAAGTTGCGCTTTCATTTGGGGCTAATTATAATGAGCTGTCAGCTGATGGAGGCATCAATAGATGCTCTGTTTGATCCTTTACAGGCTTTTTTATTCGACTTGTGATGAATGAGCCAGTTGTCAAGAAGTCTGATTCAGTTGACTACATTCCTCTTAGGTGACAAACATGGGCTGGTGACACTTTATTCCAAGGTATTTCTATTTCTTCCCCTGCTCTATACACTGAGTCTCACAGATCTGCCGTGTACTTGTATTGGTGGTCTGCAGGTACAAGAGCTCAGCTCTGAAGCCGTTAATTACTTAGTATAACTTGATATTTATTCAGCATCCATGGAGGGCCTCCTTCCCCCTCCAAAATATCAGCCATATCACTGATCTTCCTTCCATAGTTTTCCATCCCAAGAATCCCCTTCAATTTAAGGACTGTTTCCTTGGTGCAGGGGTCAAATACTAATGCCTGCAGGGGCCAAGCTGTTAATAAAATGAGTGAAGTGGGCCAGGTGTAGGAATAAAGAAAGTGGCACTTATCCCTCAGTCGAAGGTGGTGGTGGGGGCAGCAGTGGGGACCGGGGTGAACTGCAGAATGCTTGCTCTAAGCAACCAGTACTCGGCTTTTTGCTGGTGTGAAAGAAAGCAGGCCTGGTGTAGCCAGATCTACCAATGCTCAAAGGAAATCGGAATTTCAGGTTTTTATAGCCTCATAACTTTGAATGTTGACAAGATATAAATTTTACTATCAAAAGAATAAACTGTGAACAAACACTGAACTCTCGCATGCTTAAGTATTTAAAGGGAAGTGTATAGTATAAATGTTTGCAGTTCACTCTGAAATGCATCAAAACGTAAGACAGACTGATGGGTGGATATGTAATGAAAAGTATGGCAAAGGTTACTGGTAGAGCTTGGGTGGTGGATATACAGGTGTTTACTGGAAAACTTGTTCAACCTGCTGTGTGCTTCAAAATCTTCATGATAAAATGTTGAATAAAAACCACTAAAGGCCCTGACCGGTTTGGCTCAGTGGATAGAGCGTCGGCCTGCGGACTCAAGGGTCCCAGGTTCGATTCCGGTCAAGGGCATGTACCTTGGTTGTGGGCACATCTCTGGTGGGGAGTGTGCAGGAGGCAGCTAATCAATGTTTCTCTTTCATCGATGTTTCTGGCTCTCTATCCTTCTCCCTTCCTCTCTGTAAAATATCAATAAAATATATTTAAAAAAAAAACAAAAAACACTAAAGGCTAACAAACAGCATCTATGGGCCAGACTGATCTGCAAATGGCCACTTTGGGCTCTGTGGTCTACAGCATAAAAGCTTGGACTCGCTGCTCAGCTTCCAAGGTCTTTGGGGTATTCCCTCTGTCCCTCCCCATGTCTCAAATCCCCAATTCATTTTGTTATTGTTGTTAATCCTCATCAAGGATATTCTTTTCCATTGATTTTTTTAGAGAGAGTGGAACGGAGAGAGGGAGAGAGAGAGACAGGGAAAGGGGAAAGGAGGAGGGGAGGCAGGAAGAGAGAAAGGAGAGAGAGAAACACGGATATGAGACACATCGATTGGTTGCCTCCTGCATGTGCCCCGTCCAGTGCCGGGGATTGAACCTGCAACCCAGGCATGTACCCTTGACCAGAAATCGAACTCTTAACCCTTTGGTTCATAGGCTGACATTCTAATCACTGAGCAACACTAGCCAAGGACCCAATCCATTTTTTGGTCTCACTTTTTTCCCATGTACCAATAAAGCCACTGTGCTAGGCTGCATATCTGGCGCTTTGGCCAGACGGGTCATGCTGTGCTGTCTGTTTCTAAAACACATAGATAGGAAGGTACTGACATCAGGCCAGGTCCTGAGATATGGTCTCATGGCCCCTTCCCAGCACGCAGGCCTTCTCATAAGGCCAGGAAGTCTCATTCCAAATTTGGGAGACAAAGGACTGGAAAAGGTATAAATAAATAGAGTTTCCTCCATATTGGGGGGCCCAGAATTTAAAAGACACATTTTTCTCTGGGCCTCCACAAAATTTAATAATAAAATGTAACTCCTGTAGTCTGCGCTGCAGTTCAGCCTCTGCTTCAGCAGGGTGCTGTAACTGTAGTCAGCTGGCCAGCTTAATAAAGGCTCTTAAATTTAAATTCTGAGTCGGTGGTCTATCTCGCTGAGTGAACCCATAACACCAGGACTCCCAAGGTCCACTTGACACTAATTCTTGTCTGTGTCTGTGGCAGGTCCAGATGAACTCTTTTTTTTCCCTAATATATATTTCTTTATTGATTTCAGAGAGGAATGGAGAAGGAGAGATAGAAACATCAATGATGAGAAGAGAACCACTGACCGGCTGCCTCCTGCACACCACCAAATGGGGATCAAGCCTGCAATCCAGGCATGTGCCCGTGGCTGGAATCGAACCTGGGACCCTTCAGTCCGCAGGCTGACGCTCTATCCACTAAGCCAAGTCGGCTAGGGCCAGATGAACTCTTTTTTTAAAAAAAATATATTTTATTGATTTTTTACTGAGAGGAAGGGAGAGAGATAGAGAGTTAGAAACATCGATGAGAGAGAAACACAGATCAGCTGCCTCCTGCACATCTCCTACTGGGGATGTGCCCGCAACCCAGGTACATGCCCTTGACCGGAATCGAGCCTGGGACCCTTGAGTCCGCAGGCCGACGCTCTATCCACTGAGCCAAACCGGTTTCGGCTAGATGAACTCTTTATCAATCTGTGGGCACCAAGCTACTGACCACACACACACACACACACACACACACACACACACACACACACACACACCCCCATCCTCAAACACCAGCTCAAGTCCCTCCCAGATGGCCTCCATGAAGTTATCTCCAACCCATGCAGATCTTTCTCTCTCAGGAGGATTTCATGCACATACTATGAACGGTAACTAAGCATCTTTTCCTTAGGTGCTTCCTGGTGTTAGGTTTGTCTTCCCCAAGAAGCTTCCAGAGGGCAAGTAGCACATTTCCCTCCATCACACCTAACACTGCAGGACCTTGACTCGTTCCCACAGCAGCTCATCAAAATTTACACAGGGAGCTTTATTAAGAAAAAATAAATAAAAAGATAGGCAGACTTGCCAGGGCCCCACCCAGACTTAGAACAGGAATCTCAGGGCAGGGGTGGGTTCAGGCCTGTCTGATGTTTACCAAGCTGGCCAGGTGATTTGCCTGGCAGTGAGGGTGGAGAACCACAGTCTCCAGGCACAGTGTTATCCTTAGTGATCACGTGCTAAACCATATAGAATGTCCAGAAGGCAGTCTTTACCCTTTAGAACAGTGTTTCTCCAGATACTTAGCAAGGTCTGGAGATATTTTTGGCCTCCATACCTGGTGGAGGGAGTGCTACTAGTATCTAGTGGTTGGAGACCAGATTCTGATAAACATCCTATAATGCAAAACTTAGCCCTCACAACAGAGAATTATCTGGCTTCCAAGGTCAACAGTGCCCAGGTCTGGGAACCTGCTCTAGACGGGCACTATCAAACAGAACGTTCTGTGATGATGGAAACATTGTACAACCCCTCTGTCCAATCATCAGACCCACTAGAGACATGTGCCTACTGAGCACTTGAAATGTAGCTAGTGTAACTGAGGAATTAAATTTTTATTGATTTTGTTTTAATTAATGTAAATGTCAATAGCCACTATGCCCAGGGGCTACCATACTGGAAAGCACAACCCTGGACCTTATAATACAACTAGAGGCCCGGTGCATCAAAGTTGTGCACAGGTAGGGTCCCTAGGCCTGGCTGGCGATCAGGGCAGATCCGGGCCTTCCTTCTGGCTGCCGGCCAGGGCCTTCCTTCATTCCACACCACCACCAGGTGGTCAGTGCACATATATATATATATGATATATATATATGATCAGCAAGTCTAGCAACCCTCAATACTCTAAAACTATCTACTTTTCACATGCCTAATGAGATTATTACAGACAATCAAAGAATGGCCCTGGGGACATGTGTGTGACTTGCTTCTCACAGAGCTCCTAGAACATAAAGTGTTCACCACCACATCCACTCAGCAGGCCTGGAGGTGGGAGTGCGCCCAGGGCCACGGCCCTTGCTCTGCAGGGCTCTCTTTCCCAGGCACACTCGCCACCCTGGAAGCGTTTCCTCTCACCCCCTCACCTTGATGGTTTCTAGCTCCACGCGAAGGCGGTTATTTTCTGACAGGAGGTCCCTGTTCCTGGTTTCAATTTGTTGTAGCTGTGTCTCCAATTCAGCTTCATATTCTCGGCTTCCCTCCTGGAATTCTCGGAGCTCCTCTTGTGTGTTCTCTGCCCTAAAGCAGAATTCCCAGATGTCAGATAATAATATACTGAGCACTTACATGTTGCCAAGTCTTATACATAGGTCAGCTCTTTATTCAACCACCTTTTGAGGCAGAAACCATCATTTTCCTCATTTTACAGATGAAAAGATGAGGTTCAGACAAGATGAGTGCTTTGTCTCAAGGTCACATAAGAAGCCAGAAACAGAGCTTACATCTGAGTCCAGGCATGCCTGATGCCAAAGCCATTTCTTAACCAATTCACTCTTCACTCATTCATCCAACATATATTTTTGAGCCCAACATGTAGTAAACATAATTTCAATTGTGAATTCTCTGCAGATTTATTTATAAGTGGAAATTGGTCATAATACAAATGTCATTTATCACACCATTATAATGTGTCCATAAAGAAGATAAAAATCATGCCTATAGAAGAAAACATACAACTTTAACATAGACAATGAAGACATCAAATTTGTTAAAGATTTTTGCTTATCTTGGTCTAGTCAATTGAAATGGAGACTGCAGCCAAGAAATCAAGAGAAGGCTGAGCCTCAAAAGACTTAGGAAAGATCACCAAAGCAAAGATGCCAGTAGAGACCAAGGCTAAGTTCATCCACACCTTCGTATCCCCAATTACTATGCACAGATGTGAACACTTCAGTGAAGGAGGCCGACAGTAAAAAAATTGATTCATGAAATATGTTGAAGAACTCTACAAATACTCTGGACCACCAGAAAGACAAACAAGTTGGTCCCAGAGCAAATTAAGCCTGAAACATCACTGGAGGCAAAAATGACAAAACTGAAGCTACTTTGGACACATCATGAGAAACAGGATTCTTTGGAAAAGACAATAATGCTGAGAAAAATAGAAGACAAATACGAGATGGATTGACTCCATTAAAGAAGCCAGAAGCTTGAGTCTACAAGAGCTGAGTAGGGCCGCTGAAAACAAGACATTGTGGACATCACTCATTTACAGAGTTGCCAGGAGTTGGAACCAACTCAATGGCATGTAGCGCGTGCGCGCGCGCGCACACACACACACACGCACAAACCTCCCAGATATGGGCACTCAAACACTGGTTTCAGGTTTTTTAAATGGCAACAACCCATTTTTCTAGGTTCAGGGAGTTCTTTCCCCCCACATGAAGCACTGACCGGGTATGGCATCTAGGAATTGATAAAACCCTGCCAGAAAAGTAAGATGGGACGTAGCAGTTTACTTAGGACCACAGGCTTTGGAGTTCAAATTCTATCTCTGCTGTGCGACCTGGCCAAGTTATTTGCCTTCATTAAGGATCAGTTTCCTCATTTGTAAAATGGGAAGATCATGTTTGTTGTTGTTTTTTTTCCATGGGGTAGTTTTGAGATTTACTAGTAACTGAGATAATGTATGCTAAGCCTTCACAGTGCTTATCAGATAATATGCCCCCCAAAATGACTGCGGCCATCATTATGGGAAGAAAAAGCAGGGTGAACTCTGGAGAACTGACCTTTGTTTGTAAGTCATAGCCAGATCTTTCCAATAGTTAGCTGCTTCTTCCTCAGAGCTGAAAGTCTTCCCAGAGTCCTCCATTGTGAAAATGAAAGAAGAAGTCACTCTTCTTGTGGCATGGTGTCTAGGAGAGTAAGTTTTAAAATTATTACCCTGGATAAACAGCTGATCTTTATAAGGGGAGGGGGGGGGGTGTCTCCGAACTTTACAATGGATTAAATGATAAAACATTGCCAAACCACTAAAACTAAACTCAGACAAAATATAGCCCACCTGCAGGTTTCATTCCATGGACAGATAAAACCATCAGGATTTGCTGATTAACACATTGGGAAGAGAGGAAATAAAAATATGAAGGTGAGGACACCTCCTGGGGTTCTCGAATAGGCAACTGGGTGCCACCATCACCCCCATCACCACAGATGCAGAATATCAGAAGGAAAATCTTAAGGGCAGGGGATAATGAACCCAGTTTGAGATATTATTAGTTTGACATGCCCACGACACATCTAGATACAACACTGGATCTTAAACTTGGAGGTAAATTCTGGCCTAATGATACAAATTTAAGAGTTATGAGTTTGTATCTGGTTCTTTCTTTTTTCTTGTGACGGAACCACTGGAGAATCTAATGAGGGCTATTTATGGAACTCTGAGGAATGCCAATGTTTGAAAAGGGGGGCAAGGAAAGAAACAGGAATCGGAGGAGGCAGAGGAGAAACAGAGAGCTGTCTTGGAGTAGATGGAAGGGGGGTGGCGGGGGTGCATTCCACAGTATCCATGATGCAACAGAGAAGATGGTAAGATAAGGATTGGAAAATATCCAAGAGACTTAGCAAAATGTTGGTCACTGGTAACGTGAGCAAGAATATTTCAACACAATGGAGGAGGGAGGAGACATACACTGGGTGGAGGAGTCGGTGGGAGGCGAGGAAGAGGAAGTCCATGGGGTTTTGGAGAACTGGGTGTGAGAAGAAAAGGAGACAAAGTAGACCACAGCTAGAGGGGAGTGGCGGCGGCGGCTTTGGCTCTGAGGATCTGGAGATATCCAGAGCAGAGGTTAGGAAATGTTCTATTAACAGTTGTCAGTTTATAGACTCCCTGCTGATTGAGCTTATTTTCTGAATTTATTAAAGGCTCTGAGCTTGTCAAAAGGTCGTTGGAAACCCAAAGTAGATGCCTCCAAAGTCCCTTCCTTCCTTCAAAGGAGCTCACAGTCTGCAGTGTGTGTCCTTGGGGACAAAAGAATGAACGCAACCCCTCACTCTGCAAGGCATAACCAACAAGCTGTATTTCGGGCTAAAAGTACAAATAATTCGGCTAAATATGTCAGTGTTGACACGGATACCATCACCAACTCCTGGATCTCTGGCAGAATTTGAACAATACCTCTATGTGAGCACAGCACTTACTGATAACTCTATACTTGCTAGTAACTGTTTGTACATCTTCTCGCCCTCCTAATTTCTCTTCTTTCCTAATTCAGAGAAAAGTATGCCATGAGACCTCCCACCTACACCCTTCTGAGAACAATTTCTCTGACAACTTGAGCTAAGCAGCGAGGCCAAATGGAGTAGAAAGCTGTTGATTTGTTGATCTTTTCCAGTCCAGCATTCCTTCTTCCATCTTCCTGTAACAGCATCCCAATATTCCCTTGGAGAAATTGACTCTACACTCATTCCATGTGGTTCAGATGAACTTGACATCATCTTCTGCACCTGGGAGAAGGCACATGCCTACTCATGCCTCCAGCATCAGTAACTGGCTTAAGGGTGGGACCTACCCAATGCTGAGGCAATGACAGGGATCAGCCTTACACAAGTTGAATAAGTCATGGTTGGACTGAACCCAAGCTAAGCCAATAATAAGGGTGGGCCTAACTCAAGCTAAACCAGTAAGTGTCCAGACCCACACCTTTTGCAGAGCTATCAAGAAACAAAGTCTCTGGAAGCGTTAACCAACCTTACTGTGGTAATCACTTTGCAATATATACACGCATAAAACCATCATGTGGTACACCTTAAACTTACACAATTTTATATGTCAATTACTAGTATAACCATAAAGTTGGGGCTTGGAGAAATGAACGCTCTTTTTCTACTAGGGTTTGTTAGATGGTAGGAGGTAAGCCCCAATGATCATCTTTCTTTTTTTTTTTTTAATATATATTTTATTGATTTTTTTACAGAGAGGAAGGGAGAGTGATAGAGTGTTAGAAACATCGATGACAGAGAAACATCGATCAGCTGCCTCCCTGCACACCTCCCACTGGGGATATGGCCGCAACCAAGGTACATGCCCTTGACCGGAATCGAACCTGGGACCTTTCAGTCCGCAGGCCGACGCTCTATCCGACACTCTATCCACCGAGCCAAACCGATTAGAGCATGATCATCTTTCTATTGCAAGGGAGGAGACAGCCTGAGAATGAAGCCAAAACATAGGAAAGCAGGACCAAGAGGTAGAGGGATTGGATCCTGATGATATTGTTTGAGCGCCTGGATCCAGCTGTACCTGATTTACTGTTATGAGAGATAATCAACTCCCTTTCTTGGTTGTACCGGTTAGGGCTGGATTTCTGTCACAAGAGAGTGCTACTTAATATATAAAAAAATGATAGGTCGCCGAAACCGGTTTGGCTCAGTGGATAGAGCGTCGGCCTGCGGACTGAAGGGTCCCAGGTTCGATCCCAGTCGGGGGCATGTACCTGGGTTGCGGGCACATCCCCAGGAGGAGATGTGCAGGAGGCAGCTGATCGATGTTTCTTTCTCATCGATGTTTCTAACTCTCTATCTCTCTCCCTTCCTCTCTGTAAAAAATCAATAAAATATATTAAAAAAAATAAATAAAGACAACATCTTAAAAAAAAAAAAGTGATAGGTCTTATTTGCTGAAAGTAAAAAGAATGGAGTACCTAGAGTGTAAATAACAGTAAGTAACATGGCAACAGGAAAGGGTGAACCTAGGTATGGTGCTCCCTGCTCAACCCATAAGCTCTAATGAACCCAGAACACAGCTAATATGCAGTCACCAAACCAATGTCTATAGTGTCCAGAGCACAGAGCCATGCAACTGTAACTGAGCACTGTGTGGCCACTGATGATCTTATTAAGGACAAATGCAAAGCATGGGAGGAAGTCTGTGTAAAGTAGGGTGAGAATGTAAGGAACTAGGAACAATGAATGTATACTGACTTTTCCTGCTGTTTGCAAAAAAGATCATGTCCAAGGTTCAACATATTTAGTCCCTGCCTAGTTCTCTAAGCATTTCCCACCCACCTACCCCTCTTGCTTATGCACCAGCTACACTGCCTTCTTTCTGTTGCTTGAACACACCCAGCTTGCCCTACCTCAGGGCCTTTGCACTTGTTCGCTTTGCCTGGAATGCTTTTCCTTCAGATCTTTTCTCAGCAGGTTTCCTTCTTGCCATTCAGATCTCAGCTAAAATGTCTTCCCCAGAGAGACTTTATTTTAATACTACCAAATACCTCCTCCAGCCCTTCAGTATCATACTAACCCAACTTTGTGTTATCACTTTGTGAGTTTTGTTTTTTGTTTATCATCTCTCACTGGAATGTCAGATGTTGAACACAGGGACCTTCTCCATCTTTTATATCCCCAATGCCTACAGGCATTCAATAAATGCTTATGGAATGAACATACATAGGGGAAGACAGAGATTGGCCTCTAGTTGATGGGGATATGAGGATAAGAAAAGGCAAGAAGCAAGAGACCCTCTGAAGGCTAGTTTATAATTTGTATCTGTAAATCCCTAAGATGCTTATCGGGATGGGGAACACCTCTCCCTCAGCACCTGAGTGGCATCTCCTCGATGGGAAGGGGTTGGAGGATAGGATGCCATGTTTGAAACTACCTCCTCCTCAAGGTTTACATGATAAGGAGTATCTGATATAGTTATTGGAATTTAATAACCTTCATCCTACACTCTTATGACAGACGAGGCTTAGAAAAGGGCTTCTTAAAGTACTGTTTTCACAGCCAGTGAGGCTTAAGCTTAATCCCGAAGAAATTAATTTGTGATGTTTTAGGAGGCGCTTCCATTGTGGGAGGGGCTCTAAATACAACCATGCTGATGGGAAGGATCTGGTTTTGGACTTCAGGTACTGGGGAGAAACTAAGCAGAGACCTGAGCTTAGGTCACAGCTTGCACTCCCTTCTCTAAATGTCTGATTCCTTCAACTAAATGCAAAAACCACAAGCCTGCATTTCCACCAAAAACCTCTGCACTTCAAAAACAATCCTTAGGGAAGAGAAAAAATATACTACAGGCTAAGAGGGAAGAAGTAAAGGCTTTGTTTTGAAACAGCAATCTTTTTTTTTTTTTTTTTTAATATGGAACGCTTCACGAATTTGCGTGTCATCTTTGCGCAGGGGCCATGATAATCTTCTCTGTATCGTTCCAATTTTAGTATATGTGCTGAGGAAGCGAGCACTGAAACAGCAATCTTAAAAAAATGTTTTCTTTGCCATGTGAAAATGTCTCAAAGTTCTAATGTTATTCTCTGCCACAGAAAGCAGGTGAGATGACTTGCAAAGGTTCCCTTCCTCCAGCATTATCTACTGAATTTTAACATCACCTTCTATTTGCTGTGTGCTGGGCATTTATAAACAACTTTGTCACTTTAAGGCCACTCAGCTGTAAGGGTAAGGAAGACAATCACTTATCACTTTTTTATATATTAAGTAGCACTCTCTTGTGACAGAAATCCAACCCTAACTGGATCAACCAAGAAAGGGAGTTGATTATCTCTCATAACAGTAAATCAGGTACAGCTGGATCCAGGCGCTCAAACAATATCATCAGGATCCAATCCCTCTACCTCTTGGTCCTGCTTTCCTATGTTCTGGCTTCCTTCTCAGGCTGTCTCCTCTCTTGCAATAGAAAGATGATCACTGGCACTCCAGGGCTTACCTCCTACCATCTAACTGGTTTTTTAGAAGCTGGAGCAGAAACATTGTAAACCAGACCCAAGGGGGGTTGGGGGGTTGTCTTTAAATTCAAGTTCAAGCTCTCCCTGGGGTTGCAAACAGACTGATTAGAGGTCAAGTTCACTCATTTTCATTTGGCCCACACGGTCTTTTAAAAGGCACTGTGACAGGCAGGTGTTAACTCTTGGTAATGATATACACAATCTTAAAAACGGATACTTCATGCCTTTATTTCATCTGTGCTACAGGCATTTAGTCTCCTAACTTGTGTTTTCAATACACCATCATGTCATCGTGTCCCAACATCATGGACAAATCTAATGGGCACCTCAACTCTATACTCTGCAGCATGCACAGAAGAACAAACTGGAACAAGTGGTTCAAAAAGTATCTATTTTATGTAACTTAAAACTATCACTCCTACAAAAATGTGTTTCGCCAAGTTTTTTTGGTGTGTTTTCCATGATTAAAGTTAACAGAGAAGTCTGAAAACACACTTGAGACACATGCCTTTGATTTCAAAACCAGAAAAACACAGCAAAGCAATCTCTCTTGGCTTCCCTCTGAGTGAAGAAAGCCAGGGCATGCTGGTCAGAAGCAATCCACACCTATAAACCATCAGGAATTAACTCACCGCCCTTCTCCACCCCAATCCTTCCCAATCAAAACAAATGGAAGAGCTGAAAGGAAGGGAGAGAAAGAAGTTGCCAAATGCCAGCACGTGCTCCAACAGCTTCTACGTTATGAAGTAGGCTTTGCACTTTGCAGAAGTGATGTCACTGGGACAAGATCAGTCAAGAGTCAGCAAGTCTGGCTTCCGTTTTTCAATGTCTATAATGATCTACCTAAAAAATAGGCACGCAAGGACAAATATGCAAGGCTGTACACCATCAATTCACTGATGTGGAAACTGGAGAAACATAACTGTCAACAGAGGACTACTAATTGGAAAACTATGAAGTTGTTAAAAATTACATGTACTGCCCTAGTTGGTTTGGCTCAGTGGATAGAGCATGGGCCTGTGGACTGAAGGGTCCCGGGTTCGATTCTGGTCAAGTGCACATGCCTGGGTTGCAGGCTTGATCCCTGGTGGGGGGCCTGCAGGAGGCAGCCAATCAATGATTCTCATCATTGATGTTTCTAGCTCTCTCTCTCTCTCTCCCTTCCTTTCTGAAGTCAAAAAAAACTACATAAAAATAATAATAAAGTAAAATTGTTTAAACAAAAGAATTGTATGTACTAAAATGGAAGAAAGTTCATGACATATTAAGAAATGACGCCATTTTTGTTTACAAATCTCTCTTCTTTGTATACAAAGGGTCTAGAACAGAGGTTCTCAACCTATGGGTCGCGACCCCTTTGGGGGTCGAACAGCCCTTTCACAGGGGTCGCCTAAGACCACCGGAAAAACACATATATAATTACATATTGTTTTTGTGATTAACCACTATGCTTTAATTATGTTCAATTTGTAACAATGAAATTGGGGGTCACCACAACATGAGGAACTGTATTAAAGGGTCGTGGCATTAGGAAGGTTGAGAACCACTAGTCTAGAAGGATGTACCAGAATGTGGGTAAAGCAGGCACTGAGATGAGAACTTACACCTGACATAACACTATATACACTGACTTTCACAGTAAGCATATTTTGCTTTTGAAATTTTAACCCGAACAAAAAACTAGAATAGCTACTGTTCCAGGATAAGTTTTTTCTACTGAACCAAAATGCCAGGGAAAGAGTTTTTCCTACTGTGGTTTCCCCCTCCTCCATCCCTTTTCAAACATTTCTGAACACCTACTAAGTGTTCAGGCGCAGCTGGGAGAGGCAGGTACAAAGCATCTACCTCGGTACTGGATGCAAACACAGTACCAGGAGCTGACACCAACTTTCTGTACACAGGTACGCTCATGTTAGAAAACTGTCCATAGGGCAAGGTAGTGTGGTTTCTCTGGTTCGCATGTTCAAAGGCAAAAGAAGACACTTATCCAAAATGGGATGAAATCTACCAACCAGAGGCCCCTGAGACTTCAAGGACATAGAGCATCTGGATCTAATCCTACATAAAAGATACACTAAGAGGAAAGATTTAAGCTTCAAAACGGATTGAATACCGGTGTGTGTGTTTGGGTGGTGTCAGGTACCAAGTATCTCTGGGAGTCACT